GGGCGAGGAGGGCGAGAGAGAGAGAGAGTACGAGGGCGCGGGGCGAGGAGAACGAGGACGAGAGCGAGAAGCAGGACGAGGAGGTGGGCGAGGAAGAGGTGGGGGAGGAGGACGAGGAGGAGAACAGGGGCAGTGGGCGGAAGATGGGCACGGCACGCCCGCCTCTGGAGGCCCTGGGCGATCTCGGACCTCTCCAGGCCCCCGCTGCCGTTGCGGTCTAGGGCCTCGAAGAACGTCCTCACGTCCCGCACCGGCCTGTTGAAGAGGGTCCTGGAGGCACAAAGAGGTACCGATGCCGCTGCTCCCCGGACCTCTCCCGGGGTGCGTTCTGACCAAAGGATTTCGAGGCGAATCCAGCGGTGGCGACGACGGAGGCCCAGAAGGCCCAAAAAGGGGAAAACGAGGGGAGGGTAGAGGTATGGATATTTCTTCCTCATCTGAGGGTCCGGCGCCCGCTGTGGATCGCGTAGTTCAGGTGCGCGACGATGCGATTGTAAGTCACCGTCGTCCCATCCTCTGGCATGAGTCAGAGGAGAAGGAGGGTGAGGAGGAGGAGGAGGAGGAGGGTGAGGAGGAGGAGGAGGAGGAGGAGGAGGAGGAGGAGGAGAGAGGGAGGGAGGAGGGGGGGAAAGGAAGGAGGAGGGGAAGGAGAAGGTGGAGCAGGAGGAGGAGGAGTAGGAGGGGAAGGAGGATGAGGAGGAGGAGGAGGAGGAGAAGGAGGAAGAGGAGTCACCGTCGTCCCGTCCTCAGGCATGAGGCACACTGGTCATGAGGGAGACAGGCCCTGGGCCCCAGGGCCAACTTTACATCCTGGAGGTCCAGGGAGGGCCACAGGAGCCCGAATACCAAGACCTCCTCGCGTGCTGAAAAAGATCACGGCGGGAGGTTCTTCGCTAGTTTCAGCCTCCTGGGGTCCTCACCGGGACTCTGGACCTTCAATTTTCAGAAAGAAAAACGGGTCCCGGGGAATGGGTCGAGACGTCTGGGTGTCGACGCTATGGAAAAATCATGACGTCAGGGATCTGGGTACGGTGGAACCCCTCAGGACCCACTTCTCTCGATCCCGTTCCCAAACATGGGATATCTTGATTTCGCGGGGTCCCTGGAAGTCCCGACCCTCTCCCTGGGCCCCAGGCCGAATTTTTCGTCCCGAGTCGTCCTTGACGTTCCCGGGGCTCGGTGAGGGCCCCCAGAGACAGACAATTATCAACACTCCGTAACTAAACTACAACATCGCGCAAAATCGCGACCCGAGTTCTACACCCCATCTTCCTGCTGAAATTATTTTCAAGCCAGATCGGTCCGCGAGAATCCTGGGGCCCGGAACATGCCCAACTCGCCCGGTGTGAAAACAACGCAGCGCCCAGATCGCAGGGAACGACTCGAAAGGTTGCATGTTTGTGTTAGTCGCGAGGCGAGCGTGTCTGGGTTTCGGTGGGGCATGTCTCCTGCAGGCAGACTTCTGGATGAGGAGGAAGAAAACAATCAAGCACAGTCACAAGAGCAGGAAAAAAGTCAGCTGACTATTTTTCCTACTCTTGAGGATTCCTCCTGTAGAGGGACATGCCCGACTTAGGTCTGGTTTTGCTCCGTGGCGAGTCCCCAGAAGTCCCGACTGCTCCCTAAAAACAAAACCGCTGGTTTACAAAACAGATTCACCGAAGAGCCGGGCTTCCCTCTAGACCCGTTTGGCGAGTCGCCGCCGCGCCGCCACGGCGTACAGTGGGAGCTCGACCACAAGAAACCTTCCACAATAAACCCAACCCTGAAACCCCAGGACATCCATTCATTTTGGTGTGGGAACGTCACGCAATCCATCGCAAACCGTCGAGATCCCATAAACCCAGGGCACCCTGAAGGCAAGCAGGGTGTTCCTTGCCACGGTTTTCCACTGCACCCGTCGGCGCCACTCGAGCCGAATCGATTCGTGAGGGTCCCGCGGCCTGACATCGGGCCACACCGCCCGTTTTGTTTGTTGTCTTGTGTGTGCGTTTTTGTATGTGCGTGTGTGTATATATGTTTCTACATGTGTATATATATATATATATATATATATATATATATATTGCGACGCCAAGATCGAAAGGTCCCTCTCAGGACCTCCGCCTTCCGCGGGCCCCCCCCCATGGCGCGTACCTTGAATCGGGGATCTACTGACCCGGGTCAATCCTAACCCGGGTCAGTCGGGCCTTGCAGGATCCTGCAGGATCCTGCACCCAGACTCGGGCCGGGCGAAAGGGGGGGATAGCAAAGGGGAGAGTTGAGAATCAGCTCACGCAGCTGATTTTCCCGGCGCCTCCCGGCGCCGGAGGCGGCTATGCCTCGAGGAATGGGCCCCTCGGTGGGGCCAAAACCAGCTGCATGCAGCAGATTTCGTCCCCCCCTCCCCCCTTTCCCAACCCCCCCCTTTCGTCCGGCCCGGCAGACCCGGGTCAGCGCGCCCCTGGCCCTCCGGGATCCTGCAAGACTTGGAGCCATAGCTGGCCCCCGTTTGCATTGACCCCCGTCTCTTGACACCGATTTCGGGAGCGGCCAAGAGGGGGGTGTCCAAGAGGGGGGGGTGCAAATCATGACCGGAGGCCTGTGCGTGGCCCAGCGGGGGGGCCAGGGGTGTAATGAAATAAGAAGAGGCGCTATGACATCTGGGGAAACATCATGGCCCACGCCATGATCCTCCCCCCCCCCCAGTCATCACCCCCCTCTTTTTCCGACCCCGAGTCTCTCGACCCCGATTGAAGAACCGTTTGACGGTCCCGGGGGCCCGGGCAGGAAGGCCTCCAGACGGTGGAAGCTACAATAAAGACCTGCCGTCTCCAGACCCCCGACGTCATGATTTTTTCATGACGACGACCCCCAGAGATCTCGACCCATTCCCCCGGACCGGCTTTTCATCCTGAGTCGTTTTCTGACGCTCCCGAGGTCCGGTGAGGGCCCCCGGAGGCCGAAAATTCAGAAAAACCTCCCGTCATGACTTTTTCATTACTCGAGGGGGTCTGGGTCTCGGGCGGGTGGAAATGGGGGGGGGACCCAAGAAGGGGGGGGGAAGAGAACGGCCGGCCCTCTGGGGCCCCTTTTGGGCACCGGCTGGCTCCCACAAGGGGCCCTCGAGGTCCCCCTTCGGGGCCCTCTTCTTCTTCACTCCCCGACTGGGCCACCCCCCCCATCACTAAGGGAACGAAGCATGGCATAAACATACAAACTCGGAGGTCCGCGCGGATTTCTTGGATCTGCGCTGGACCCCCCTCCCTGGCGCGCGGAGCGCGCCAGGGGCGGCGCCGGAGGCGCCGCCAGGGGGCCCCAGCGCCGATCCGAGAAATCCGCGCGGACCTCAGAGTTGTTATGTTTATGCCATTCTTCGTTCCCCTAATTACCACCCGCCCGACCGTCCTGAATTTTCCCGCGAAGCCAGCACGTCTGGGCTCAGGGCTCGCCTCATTCTTTGGACGCCCGAAATGGGTACGGAAAGACTGGGTACAATGCCCACCAAGCCAACAGCGGCCGCTGTTGGGCGGGCGGCCTTCTGTCTCAAATGGACACAGGCCGCGGCGGCGCGGACAGCGAGTCCTGTTCAAGATGAACAGGAACTGCTGTTGGGCATCGGACCAATTCTTTCCGTGCCCATTCCGGGCGTGCAGGTCATTCGTGTGGCGGGTCGCCGCCGCACCGCCGTCCTTCGGCCCGTCCTCCGCGCTGGCCTCCCGCGGCGGCCCGCCCGGCGCCTCCGCCCGGACCACCTCCGCGGCCCGCGGGGCGAGGCTGTGGCCCCCGCCGTCGGGGAGCACCCGCAGGGGGCTGCCGCAGACCACCTCGCCCCCCTTCCACGGCTGGGACACGCTGCCCCGGACCTGGAGGGGTTCGAGGTGCGAGGTTCCCAGACCCCCGACGTCGTGATTCGTGTTCAAGCCTCGAGGTCGGGAGACCCCTTCCCCGGGGACCGGCTTTTCTGGTCCTGGCTCAAATGTCTTCACTGCCCCGAGGCCCGGGGAGGGCCCCCGGAGGCTGAAAGTAGCGAAAGACCTCCCGTCGTGAACTTTTCACAACGCGAGGGGGTCTGGGTTTTCGGACGCGCTCGTGGGACCTCGGCGGTCTTCCAGACTCGGGGTGCTCTCTAGCGGCTGCGCCTCGTCAAGAGCGATCCGGGGAATCCGAGCTCGTCCAGAGCGGTTGCCGCGGGCCCGAGCTTATAGCCAGAAGCCAGCAGACCGCCTCTGCATGCCCCCGGAATGGGGTCCGAAGAGACAGGGTCGGAGGATCGCGCTACACCGCCGATGCATCGGCGACACGGTTCGATTTGGAGCCCGTTCCTCAGCACCGACGTCGCCGACAGATCGCCGACGTCGCCGATGCATCGGCAACGTGGCACGCTCCTCCGACCCCACCGACTCGGACCCCGACTGCAGACCACGTCGCCCCCCTTTCCGCGGCTCAAATACGCTGCCCCTGACCTGGGGAGGGGCGCGCAGAGGTATGATTCCCCACGTCCAGACCAGCCTCTCCCAACCTCGTTCCTCCCTCCGCCTTCCTCCTGGTCCTCCTCCTGCTCCTGGTCCTCCCTCCTCCTTCTCCTCCTCTTCCTCCTCATCCTCCTCATCCTCCTCCTGCTCCCCCTCCGCCTCCACCGCCTCCTCCCCCTCCCCGTCCGTGGAGTTTGATTGCTCCCCCCTGGGGCCCGCTGCCCCCGATCTGGCGAGAGGGGGCTGCGCGGAGGGCACCCCCAGACCCAGACCCCCGACGTCATGATTTTTTCATGACGTCGACCCCCAGAGATCTCGACCCATTCCCCGGGACCGGCTTTGCATCCTGAGTCGTTTTTTGACGCTGCCGAGGCCCAGTGAAAGCCCCTGGGGGCCGAAAATGAGGAAAAACCTCCCGTCATGATGTTTTCATTGCTCGAGGGGGTCTGGGGACGTCCTCGCGCCGCGAGGGGCAGCGCGACGGGTCGAGCTTTGTGGGCCGTGCTCGTCCTCCCGGCGCGCTCGCCGGCTCCCTGCGAGGCCGGGCCCTGATGTGGCTCGGGCGGGACGACGCTCCCCGCAACGTGCTTTCGCAGGCGCCGCGGCCCTCGGGCGGCCCTGGGAGGGCCTCCGCACGCAGCCCGAGGGCCGCGGCGCCTGCGAGAGAACGGTGCCCTCACCCTCCCCGGGGCCTCGGAGCGGGTGGAGGGGTGACGTTTTTTCACGGGCGCCGCGGCCCGCGGGCTGCCCTGGGGAGGCCTCCGCACGCAGCCCGAGGGCCGCGGCGCCTGTGAGAAAACGCTACCCTCACCCTCCCTGGGGCCTCGGAGAGGGTGGAGGGGTGACGATTTTTCACGGGCGCCGCGGCCCTCGGGCTGCCCTGGGGAGGCCTCCGCGATCAGCCGAGGGCCGCGGCGCCCGTGAAAAAAACGTTACCCTCCAGAGGCCTCCCGAATGGTGTCGTACAGCCATCGGCCTGGCCTAAGGAGCGATAGATACGGAACGGAGCCCCTTGTCGAGAAGTGAGGCACAGCCTAGGACAGGATGCGAACCTGGCGAAGCAAGGCACCACCTTTTTTGAGAAGCAAGGCACAACCTGACTCATGAGCGCCGCATGCAAACCTATAAGGAACAACCCAGCCCCTTTTGAGCTGCAGGTGCTCCCTCCTATTCGAGCCGCTCGCTGTAGCACATGGGGCCGGATGACCGCCGCATCGCCGATGCACCACCGACGCGTCGGCGACACGTCGGCGAGGTCGCCGATGCGTCGGCGACGTCAGGGCAGGACAGGCCAGGACGCCGAGTGCGTGCCGCGCGCGCGCGGCAGCGTGCCCAAGGGCTCGGCGGAAATGGAGCGACCCACCTCGGCAGTGGCTTAGCCCCAGGCGCCGCGCCCCCGTGAGGGCTCTCACCTGGGACTCCTCGTGCAGATCGCTCGCCGCTCCTCTTCTCCCAAAGCTCGCTCCACTGCTGGCATGCGGCAAGAATGCTCAGCTGTCCAACCGGGGATGCAGCATGTCTCCATCAGCTGAAGTGTCTCAGCGGTGGCGCGGTTGACCCAAATCTCCCACGTTTCGATCCAGTAACAAGATCACGCTTTCGACTGAGAACTGCCAAGGCCATGGTCATACGCATGGCCTGTATCGTTGAGTCCCGCTCAATTGTCATCACCCAGCTGACGCAGAGACAAACAAAACCCTGACCTGGGTCAGTGCAACCCTGGCCCTGCAGGACTCTGCAAAATCCGGCGCTCTGACTGACCCCAATTTGCATTGAACCCTATCTCTTGTGGACGCCCGAACTGGGTACGGAAAACATGGGTACACTGGCCAACAACAGATGTTGCCCAAAACCAACAGCGGCCGCTGTTGGACAGGCAACCTTCTGCCTCAAGTGGACAAAGTCTGCGGCGACGCGGTCAGCGAATCCGGTTCAAGATGGACAAGAATCGCTGTTGGTCTCCGTCCCCATGCTTTCCGTACCCACTTCGATCGTGCCGATCTCTTGCAGACGAGCGCGCCCCACGACTGGCAGAGGAACTGCTCGCAAAAAATGACCTGGATCCGCCGCGGGGGGATCTACGATACACTGCATCGAAGCAGACATGTGTCTTTCGGGCGCTTGCGAGCAGGCACTTTGCGAGCAGTGGCACGCGCGATCCGTGATCTCCTGAGCCCCCGCCCGACCCCAGGCCCCCAACGTCATGATTTTCTCATTGCGTCGATCCCCAGAGATCTCGACCCCTTCCTCCTGACTGGCTCTGCCTCCTGAGCCGTTCTGCTGACGCTCCCGAGGCCCGGCGAAGGCCCCCGGAGGCCGAGAAATTCAGCAAAACCTTTTCCGTCATGATTTCGCCATTACTCGAGAGGGGTCTGGGGAACGCGCTCGGTGATCTCCTGCTCCTCCTCCTCCTCCTCGTCCTCCTCCTCCTCCTCCTCCTCCTCCTCCTCCTCCTCCTCCTCCTCCTCCCCTCCTCCCCTCCTCCTCCTCCTCCTCCTCCTCCTCCTCCTCCTCCTCCTCCTCCTCCTCCTCCTCCTCCTCCTCCTCCTCCTCCTCCCTCCTCCCTCCTCCTCCTCCTCCTCCTCCTCCTCCTCCTCCTCCTCCTCCTCCTCCTCCTCCTCCTCCTCCTCCTCCTCCTCCTCCTCCTCCCCCCCTCCTCCTCCTCCTCCCCCTCCCCCTCCCCCTCCCCCGCCCGACCTGCACCCGGTCGCCCACGCGGAACTGGGCGCCGGCGCCGCCCGAGGCGGGGGCGTGGCCGGCGCCCTGCGGCGGGCCGGCGGGGAGCGCGTGCAGAGACCGCGGGGGCGTCTGCGCGCGCCCGTCCCAGAGGCCCTCGCCTGGGGGGGGGGCTCCCCCACCCAGACCCCCTCGAGTAATGAAAAAATCACGACGGACGTTTTTTCCTTAATTTTCGGCCTCCGGAGGCCCTCACCGGGCCTCGGGAGCGTCAAAAAACGACTCGGGATGCAAAACCGGTCCTGGGGAATGGGTCGAGATCTCTGGGGGTCGACGTCATGACAAAATCATGACGTCGGGGGTCTGGGCGGGGGGGGGGGCTCCCCGGGCGTGCAGCGCCTGGAGGAGAGCTCGTCTTTCTCAGGCGACCTCGTACACAGTCCACCCGCGTCCTCACCGGCCCTCATCGTCGTGATCATCCTCGTCCTACTCCTCCTCCTCCTCGGTCCCCATCATCGTCCTCGCCTGGGGGGGGGGGGGCTCCCCAGGCGTGCAGCGCCACGAGGAGAGCTCCGGGCGGACATCCCTCGCCGTCTAAAGGGCCCCCCATTTGGACGCCCGAAACGGGTACGGAAAGAGTGGGTGCACTGCCCAACAGCAAATGTTGTCCCAAACCAGCAGCGGCCGCTGTTGGGCAGGCGCCCTTCTGTCTCGAATGGACACAGGCCGTGGCGGCGTGGGCAGCGAGCCCTGTTCAAAATGAACCAGATCCGCTGTTGGGCATCGTACCCACTCTTTCCGTGCCCATTTCCTTCGTGCAGACCCCAGATGGGGTCCGAGCAGATGGTGATCATTTTTTTATTCTGGGTTCCGTCATTTGGCGCATGGGGGGGAGGGGGGGGGGGTCCGGCTCTCGGCCCGTAGTCAATGCCTCCGATTGAATCATGTGGGGAATCCTGTGGGAGATGCCGATGAGGGAATCCTATGGGGGACCACAATTGCTAGGGATCACTATTCATGATTCCACAAGGCCGCACCGCATCGCCGATGCTTCGGCGACGTCGACGTGAAGCACAGCGGACTCCACGCTCCAGCCCTATCGCCAATGCATCGGCGATGCGGCGCGCACCTCCGACGCCACCATCTACTCCGGCCCCATCTGGGAGGCCGAGAACATTCCTCGTTCCTCCTCGCCCTCCTCCTCCTGCTCCTCCTCTTCCTCCTCCTCCTCCTCCTCCTCCTTCTCCTCCTCCTCCTTTTCCTCCTCCTCCTCCTCCTCATCCTCCTCTTCCTTCCCCCTCCTCCTTCGTTAAGCCGCCTGGTCGGCCGAGGAGCTCGAGATCCTGGCGTCGCATTTCTGTTCACAAGTGGCGTTTTCGCCTGATGTCTGGCCCCAGGGCTATCACAGATCGATCTGGCTGGAGACATGGCAAGGAGAGGAGGAATCGGGGGCTCTGGGTGTGAATCGTTCGCGGTGTTGCTGTTTGCTCCGCAGAGACGGATCTCGAGGTCGGTGTACATGTGCGCCCCAGCCTCACTATCCGTGGGGCACCAGGCAAGGGTAGCATTGAATGTTATCTTAATGCGGTGGTGTTCTGAGCATTGTTGTTTGGCTTGCCTATTATGTTTCTTTATATGTCTCTCTCTCCATCTCTCTCTCTCTCTTTCTCTCTGCCTTTCTTTTCTGCCCCGTGCTCGTGCAAAGCCGAGCTCAGGATTTGAGCCCGACACCAAGTCCAAGATCCCATACAAAATACAAGTTAATCATCTTGGCGAAGGATCCACCATATGCAGTTGTGACTACGGTCGTGTCGGGCATCGCCGTCGGGTGATCTCCTCATGGGGCCATGAAGCATGCGAAGGGTGCGCCGATGTGGGGCGGGGCCGCCGCCATGTGGGTGCTGCCGCTGCTGGTTTAGGCTTTCGGCGGAACGCATTACGGGGCCACGAAAAGTGCGACGGATGCGGCGAAGTGGGGCGGGGCCGCCACTGGGGCCTTCGGTGGAGTTCCCTATGTGGCCACGAAACGCTGTACTGGGTGGGGGAAACGCATGCGCATACAACCGCGGGGGCCTCCGATGGAGCTCCGCACGGGGCCACGAAGCGGCGGTGTGCTGGGCGGGGGGAACGCATGCGAACACCACCACTGTGGCCTTCAGTGGACATCCCTGCGGTGGGGCCACGAAGCGTGGAACCGCATGCGAGTGCAGCCACTGGGGTCTGCGGTGTAGCTCCCCATGGGGCCACGAAACGCTGTACTGGGCGAAGGAACCGCCAGCTATTTCCGCGACTGGGACCGTCGCTGCAACTCACTATGAGGCCACGAAGCGCTGTACTGGGAGCGAGAGACGCATACCAACTTTGGTTGGGACCCCTGATGGGGCCACGAAGCACAACATTGGGCGCAGACGCCGCATGCGAATTCCGCCACTGGGACCTTCGGTGGAGCTCACTATAAGCCCCGAATCGCTGCACTGGGCGCAAGAGCCGCATGCGAGTTCCGCCACTGGAGCCTTCGGTGGAACTCCCTATAGGGCCACGAGGCGCTGTACTGGGTGGAGACTAATGACACGGATAGGAAGGAGGAGGGGAGGAGGTGGGAGAATGCGGTGGCGCTGTCTCTTCAAAACGAGGACCCAACACCACAGGACGGTGGGACATGTACAACATAACAAACACAACATAACCACCACTCGAAATATTTAGAAGCGCTGTGTTTTTTACAGGCGCGATGTTTCCTGGCAGCATATGGCTGTGCTGCAAGAAACCATTGGCTCATTCATGTCAGAAACCAACGAACCCTGACACATGATCATGGCGAAAGATCCAACCATACGCAGCCGTGACTAGCTTCGTTTCGGGTATCGCCGTCGGGGGATCTCTTCATAGGGCCTTGAAGCATGTGAAAGGTGTGTCGATGTGGGGCGGGGCCGCCATGTGGGCGCTGCCACTGGTACTTGAAGCGCACCGCGCTACAGGCCCATGAAAAGTGTGAGGGGTGCGCCGCGATGGGGCGGGGCCGCCACTGGGGCCTTCGGTGGAGCTCCCTATGTGGCCACGAAACGTTGTACTGGGTGGGGGAAACGCATGCGAATACAGCCACTGGGGCCTTCGGTGGAGCTCCCCACGGGGCCACGAAGCGCTATGCTGGGCGGGGGGAACGCATGCGAACACCGCCACTGGGGCCTTCAGTGGACCTCCCTATGAGGCCACGAAGCGCTGTACTGGGCGGGGGTGGGTTGACGCATGCGGGCGGTGTCACTGGGGCCTTCGCTGGAGCTCCCTGATGGGGCCACGAAACGCTGTACTGGGTGGGGGTGACGCATGCGGGCGGTGCCACTGGGGCCTTCGGTGCAGCCCCCTATGGGGCCACGGAGCGCTGTACTGGGCGCAAGAACCGCATGCGACTTCCGCCACTGGGACCTTAGCTTCAGCTCCTTATGGGGCCACGACGCGCTGTACTGGGCGCAGACACCGGACGCGAGCTCCGCCACAGGGCCCTTCAGTGGACTCCTCGTAAAACCCACGAACCGCTGTACTGGGCGCGAGACCCGCATGCGAGTTCCGCCACTGGGACCTTCGGTGGAGCTCCGCATGGCGAGTTCCGCCATCGGGATCTTCGGCGGGGCTCCCTGTGGGGCCACGAAGCGTTGTACAGTGCGCAGGAACCGCACGCGAGTTCTGCCACTGGGACCATCGGTGGAGCTCCCTATGGGGCCACGAAGTGGTGTACTGGGCGGAGAGCAGGGGCACGGACTGTGAGGAGGGAGCAGGGGGAAGAGGCGGGAGAACGCGGGGCGCTGTTTTTGCGTAAAGCGAGGGCCCAACACCACATGACTGTTTGGAAAAAAAAAACGATGTTTCAGCAATGTTGTGACTGAGGCTTATGCGTCATGTGTTGTTTCATACTTGTCCTGCGCACGTGGAAATTTGAATAGGCGAAGGACCCAAACAGATGTAGTTGTGAGTGCCGTCGTTTCGGGTATCGCCGTCGGGGGGTCTTCTCATGGGGTCATGAAGCATGCAAAAGGTGTGCCGATGTGGGGCGGGGCCGCCATATGGGCGCTGCCACTGGTGCTGTTAGGCAGAAGTCACTACGGGACCGCGAAACATGTGAGGAGTGCGCAGCGATGGTGCGGGGCCGCCGCGAGGGCCTTCGGTTGAGTTCCCTGCGGGGCTACGAAGCGCTGTACTGCGTGGGGGAAGCGCATGCGAGTATAGCCACTGGGACCTTCGGTGGAGCTCCCCACGGGGCTACGATGCGGTGTGCTTGCTGTGCGAGGGGAACGCATGCGAAAACCGCCACTGGGGCCTTCAGTGGAGCTCCCGATGGGGCCACGAAACGCTGTACTGGGCGGAGTAACGCATGCGACCACTGCCTCTGGAACCTTCAATGGAGCTCCCTGATGGGGCCACGAAGCGCTGTCCTGAAAGGGGGACCCGCATCAGAATGCAACCACTGGGGCCTTCGGTGGAGCTCCCGACGGTGCCACGAAGCGCTGTACTGGGTGGGGGTGACGCATGCGGGTGGTGCTACTGGGACCTTCGGTGGAGCTCCCTATGGGGCCACGAAGCGCTTCTGCGGGCGGTGCCACTGGGGTTCGGTGCAGCTCCCTATGTGGCCTCGAAGCGCTGTGCTCGGTGGGGCGGCGGTGCCCCTTGGGCCTTCGGTGCAGCCCCATACGGGGCAACGGGCGCAGAAACCGGACGCGAGCTCCGCCACCGGGCCTTGGGTGGAGCTCCCTATGGGGCCACGAAGCGATGTCCTGGGCGCGGGAACCGCATGAGAGCTCCGCCACTGGCACCTTCGGTGGAGCAGGGGGCCACGAAACGCTGTACTGGGCGCAGGAACCGCCTGCGATTTCCGCCACTGCTGACTATGAGGCCACGAAGCGCTGTACTGGGAGCAAGAGCCGCATGCCAGTTCCGCCATCGGACCTGTTGGTGGAACCCCTTATAGGGGCCACGAAAGACAACACTGGGCGCAGGAACCGCATGCGAGTTCCGCCGCTGGGGCCTTCGGTGAAGTTCCTGATGGGGCCACGAAACAATGCACTGGGCGCAGGAACCGCATGCGAGTTCCGCCACTGGGACATTCGGATGAGCTCCGTATGGGGCCACGAAGCGCTGCACTGGGCGCAGGGACCGCATGCGAGTTCCG